TGGAGACCTGGGATTGAGTCCCACGTTGGGCTCCCTGCTTGGAGCCTGCTTCTCCCTCCGCCTGTGTCTCTGCCTCCCTCTGTGTGTGTCTCTCTTGAATAAATAGAATCTTTTAAAAAATAAATAAAAAATATATTGTAATAAGACAAGGGCATTGCATAATGATAAAGGGGTCCAACAAGAGGATATAATAGTTGCAAATATCTACACCCAACATAACATCTAAATAAAGCAATTTATTAACAGACATTAAAGGGAGATATTGATAGTTGAATCAATTTATTATATATTATATATATATTATATCAAATATATTATAGTGGAGGATTTTAACACCCCACTTGCATCAATGGATAGACTATTCAAACAGAAATGCAATAAGGAAATGGATTTTGAATGACATATTAGACCAGATGCACTTGATATACAGAACACTACATCCAAAAACAATAGATTCAATGGCACATGAAACATTCTGTTCTCCAGGACAGCTCACATGTGAGGCCACCAGACAAGTCTCTGTAAACATAAGAAAACTGAAATCCGATCAAGCATCTTTTTTTTTTTTTAAACATTTTATTTATTTATGATAGACATAGAGAGAGACAGAGACACAGGCAGAGGGAGAGGCAGGCTCCATGCCAGGAGCCCGACATGGGACTCGATCCCCGGAATCCAGGATCGCGCCCTGGGCCAAAGACAGGCGCCAAACCGCTGAGCCACCCAGGGATCCCCTCTTTTCTGACTATAACAGTATGAAACTAGCAATCAATTACAGAGGGATGCCTGGCTGGCTTAGTTGGTGGAGCATGTGACTCGATCTCAGAATGGTGAGTTCAAGTGTAGAGATTACTTAAAAAAATAAAATATTTTTAAAAAATCAATTACAGTAAAAACACTGAAAAAAACAACATGGAGGCTAAACACTGAAGAACCAGTGGATTCAGGAAATAAAAAAAAAATACCTTGAGACAAATGAAAACACAACAGTTCAAAATATTTAGAATGTAGCAAAAGCAGTTCTAAAAGGGAAGTTTGGAGCAATACAGGCCTACCTCAAGAAACAAAAATCTTAATCTAACCTTACACCTAAAGAAGCCAGAAAAAGAACAAAGTCAAGAATTAGAAGGCAGATAATAAAGAACAGAACAGAAATAAGTGAAATACAGACATGAGAAATGAGAAAAAACAAATAACTAATGAAACTAGAGCTGGTTCTTTAAAAAAATAAGCAAAATAGATAAACCTATATAGCCATTTACTAAAAAAACAAAAGACTCAATCAGAAATGAAGAGAAATAACACCACAAAATACAACGGACTATAAGAGACTACTATGAAAAATTATACACCAACAAATTGAACAACCTAGAAGAAATGGATAAATTCCTAGGAAAACACAATCTTCCAAGAAAGAATCAGGAAGAAACAAAATTTGAACAGACTGATCACTAGTAATGAAATTGAACTGGTGATTAAAAAAAAAAAAAAGTCTGGAAGCAGATGGCTTTATAGGTGAATTCTACCAAATATTTAAAGAAGTGTTAATACCTCTTCTCCCCAAGCTACTCAAAAAATTGAAGAGGAAGGAATGCTTCCAAAATCATTCTATGAAACCAGAACCAGGCAAAGGCACTACAAAATAGAAAATTTACAGGGAAATATCCTGCATAAACATATAAAACATTTCTCAACAAAGTATCCTCAAACTGAATTCAACAATCCATTAAAATAAGGATCATTCACTGTGACCAAGTGGGACTTGTTCCAGGCATGCAAAAATGGTTATGTCTGCAAATTGAACCAGCACACTAACAAAATGAAAGATAAAAATATGATCTCAGTAGATGCAGAAAAAGCATCAACATCAACTCATGATAGAAACTCTCAACATATTAAGTGGGTATTGAGGGAACATACCTCAATATAATAAAGACCATATATGACAAACCCACAGCTAACATCATCATCAGTGGTGAAAAGCTGAAAGAGATGTCCACTCTTGCCACTTATATTCAACATAGTACTGGAAATCCTAGCCACAGCAATCAGATAAGAAAAAAGGCACCCAGATTGGCATGGAAGAAGTAAAACTGTCATCATTTGCAGGTGACATTGTATTTTTAGAAAGTCCTAAAGACTCCATCATAAAACTGTTAGAATAAACGTATTCAGTAAAGCTGCGGAAAGTTAATATACAAAAATCAGGTAGGTCTCTAGTAAAATGAGCTAGCAGAAATTAAGAAAACAATCCCATTGACAACTGTGTCAAAAAGATAAAAATACCTAGTAATAAATGTAACCAAAGAAATTAAAGACCTATACTCTGAAAACTGTAAGATACTGATGAAAGAAACTGAAAATGACACAAATAAATGTAAAGATATACCATGCTCATGGATTGGAAGAATATTGTTAAAATGTCCATTCATCCTTTTTTTTTTTATGTCCATTCATCCTAAAGCAATCCACAGATTCAATGCAATCCCTATAAAAACACCTATAGTATTTTTCACAGAACTAAAATTCTAAAATGTGCACGGGACCACAGAACACCCTGAAGAGCTAGCGCAATCTTGAAAAACAAAGCTATAGTACTCAAAACAGTATGGTACTGGCACAAGTATTTATGCAATCAAACCTTTCAATTTTAGAAGCTTGATTAAGCCTAAGCACTTGAAAATGGAATGTCAGAGTATGTGGTAACTAAGGAGGTCTAATTATAAATATTTTATTAAGTAGTCTTTAATGAAGTATCTCAGAGTTTCAAAAACCTCAGAATTTTTTTTACACAGTATCATCTGTATAATGGCTTAATTCTACAATACTTTTCAAATAAAGTACACTCAGTGTGGAGCCTACTTATAAATGAGCAAAAAACAAAAAAAAAAAAACAATGAACTCAGAAATATGGAGAACAAACTGGTGGCTCTTTTAAGGGAATTTAAGAGGTACAAATTCCAGTTACAAATTAGTCATGTGGCTGCAAAGTACAATATAGAGAATATAGTCAATAATACTGTAAGTTTGGTGACAGATGGTTACACTTATTGATGGCCATTTTGTAATGTAAACGAATATCAAATCTCTGGTTTACACCTATAACTAATAGAATATTGTATGTCCACTATACTTCTATTAAAAAAAACATCTGGGAGCCTACCAAACTGTATGGTACTGACACAAAAACATACACAAAGATCAGTGGAACAGAATACAGAGCCCAGATACAAATCCAGGTGAACACAGATGAAATCAAGACTGGGAAACTCTTCAGGGCAAACAACTGGGTTTCTTCAACAAATTTTAAGTAGAAAAAGCTGCATAAAAACTTAATAGGTTAAGAGATTTAGAACACTGACCAGTTGCAAGGTGCAGCCTTCATTTGGATCCTGAGTCAAACAAACTTAAGAATGTATGACATTGAGACCATTTGAATAGTGGATATATTATGATAAAAGAGTTGGGTTTTCTTAGACGTGATAATAGTATTGTGGTTCCATTTAAAAAAAAAAAACCTCATGCTTAGAGATACATGCTGACATATTTTCTGAAATAAATGCTAAAGTGTTGAAACTACATTTTAAATTTCCTTCAAAATAATATGGAAAGATTTGGGGTGAGTGGATGGGATAGTATAGGCCAGGAGTTGATAATAGATGGGGGCCAGGTAATGAATACATGGGGGTTCTGTATTCCAGTCTTACATACATTTTAACCTTTCCACAGTAAAAAGTTATATATATGCTAAAAATAAAGATGTAGCATAAAGACAGTATTTAATCATCATCACATTATATAGCAAGCCATCCTAAAACTCACTGGCATATTATAGGAAGCATTTTTTTTCATACTCCTAGGTCTTTGGATCAGCTGGGGGTTGACTGATAGAGGCAGATCTCTCTGCCACAGGCACATGTTGAATACAAATCTGAGCTGTGTTTTCATTCTGGGTGCCCAGGCTGAAATGGCAGTGGCTATTTAGATCGTGCTACTCTCAGATCACAAAAGTGCCATCAAAATAAAAAAAAAAATGTGCATTTCAAACCTTTGGCCATGTCATCTGGTCAAAGCAAGTCTTGAGGCCGTGGCCAGAGTCAACCTTTTCCTCCTCCTTACTAAGAAACAATGGCAACGGTGCAGATACATTCCTATTAAAGGAAAGTGAAGAATTGGGACGAGTAATCCATCTAGTCTGTCTCAGGATCTGAAAATGAAAGTTAAGGAAATGAAAGTTAATTTCCCAGAAAAGGATGAAAGAAACAGGAGCTTAACAGACCATTTCAGGATTTATAAAACTAATACAAGTCCCAAAAAGAGAGGAGAGAGAAAAGGAGGAAATTCCTTTTTCCCAGAGTTGGGGGGAGGGGTCTAAACTGGAAGACCTCCTAACACACACACACACACACACACATATCTATAAACTGGAAGGCTTCTAACTCCCCTAAATGAATGAAAAAAGCCTCTTGCCCAGACACATCAAGTTTCAGAATGTCAAGAGTAATGACAGATCCTGTTTCCAGATGTGGGGAATAGGACATCTCCTAACTAGGTTTTCATTTTCATTCCTTGTTACATACTCCTAGTTCTGTGATTGTGATTTTTATTCTTTGTGAAGATTCTCTTGGTGATTAGGGAACATTACTTTCATTCCTTCCTGGCAGTATTTGGCCCATGAAAGAACTGGCCATACCTTTAAACTCAGCATTTTGAGCCTAGGTATGCAAATTACCCAGGGAAGCAAATTCTTTAAAAAGTTGTTTTACACAGGCTGAATCTGAAACTTTTGAGACAGCTGATAAACACAAAAAATTGTTTCCCCTTAAAGGTTGGGTATGGTTGGCATAGATCTTAGTCTGGATTCGGTAAGGATAGAAATGCGTATTCTGCTGTTATAGCCAACCAGTTTTGTTTGGAGATTTTAGGTTTTCTAATCTGTTATAGATAAATCTGTAACATGAAAAAAACTTCATTAAATATATCTGTAAATGTTTTTTAAGCTCACTGAAAACTGAGGCCAATTTGGAAGTTCTGAAATCAATACCTAGTGAAAAATTAATGATTGAAACTGGTAAGTTTATGCTTTTAGAACTTTCATTGTCATATTAAACCATATCAAAAAAGAGCTAGACAAAGTAAAATTTTTAAAAATAGCTCACTCACCTTCAACAATTACGCTTTACAGAAAACCTTTGGGGTTTATTTTTATCAATTGATAGAAAAATATCTATGCAATCAGAGTTTTCAATTTTAGAAGTTAGATTAAGCCTAAGCACTTAAAAATGGGATATCTGAAAATGTGGTAACTAAGGAGGTTATAATCGTAAATATTTTATTAAACAAGTAGCCCTAACAAGGGAATCTGGGACCTTGGGGTTTCAGAAACTTCAGAATTTTTTTTTTATACAGTGTTGTCTTTGTAAGTTTAATTCTACATTACTTTTCAAATAAAGTACAAGAATTTAAATCAAATTGGTTTAGTCAAGGAATTTTAGAAATTAACCAGTTGCCTCTTAAAACAGGGTTAGAAACTTAAAACATTTTACATAACCCTGAAGTCAAGGCATTACCTACATATATGGGCTTTTTTTAGTAAAGACTAAGTAAGCCATTCTGAACAAATCCGGTTTATTTCCTTGGAGAGTCATGAAAATGAAATTGATCTTATTAAAAGTACAATGCTTGTAAAATGTGTAAATTCTTATTAAAGAGGTAAGTGAATAACCCCAGTATTTAAAGCTACTGTTTCACATTCAGTAGAGGCAAATAGAGGCTTAATTGTTTTCAGGTACCAATCTGCATTTATTTTGGCTTTAAGGTGCCATACACCAATAGTAATTAGCAAAAAATATAATGAAAGTGAGTCTTAAAAAGCATTCATTTTTAAATGCATTTAAAAATGTGTATAGTTCAAGATTTAATCTTATGCTTAAGATTTTGCTTTTTACCATTTTTAAAGCTGAATCATGACTTATACTTTATAAGTTATATATTTGTTTGGTAATGTTAAGAAACCAGTGATTTGAAAAATAAACCTCTTAAGAAACTTCTTTGCTTAACTGTAGATGCACCTTGGTGTGGAGTGAAAAGTACACATGCTGGATCAAAATATATAAAAACTTCATTTCCTACCAAAAAGAAGTGGGAAAATGGGCACTGCGTAAAAGACAGGAATGAACCCTGCCATATAATGTAAGTATTTTGTTTTCATGGTCTTCAGAACATTAAAGTCAACCACCAAATGCCATTTAGAAAATGAACTTTAGGAACAAAATTGAAGTCGGGTGACATTCCAATGACGTTCCAGTCAAAAGCCACCATTTTATTTTTTTTTTTTTTTTATTTTTTTTTTTTTAAGTTCTTTATAGATTTTATTTTATTTTTTTTTTTTTATAAATTAATTTTTATTGGTGTTCAATTTACCAACATACAGAATAACACCCAGTGCTCCTCCCGTCAAGTGTCCCCCTCCGTGCCCGTCACCCATTCACCCCCACCCCCCGCCCTCCTCCCCTTCCACCACCCCTAGTTCATTTCCCAGAGTTAGAAGTCTTTATGTTCTGTGTCCCTTTCTGATATCTCCCACACATTTCTTCTCCCTTCCCTTATATTCCCCTTCACTATTATTCATATTCCCCAAATAAGTGAGAACATACACTGTTTGTCCTTCTCCGATTGACTTACTTCACTCAGCATAATACCCTCCAGTTCCATCCACGTTGAAGCAAATGAAAAGCCACCATTTTAATGCAGTGATTTGAGAGGATCTGCACTGGAATTGCTCTAGGTCAGTTCCTCTTTTCCCATCATCTCAACACCTCAACTCATTATAAGTGGTTTTATTACAGGAGTGAGAATGACCAAAATCAACTTCATGTGATTTTGGTCATTTGTCATTTTATAGGAAAGGGAGAAAAGATTCTCACGCAGCTTCCCTGCTCATGGTTGTCAGAATGCACTCTTAGCAGGATACCTTTTAGTGTTTTTAAATGATTGGACAACCTGAATAAACCTAAGAAGTAACACATTTCTTTCAGCTTCTGAACAAAATGGTCAAGTTTACAGAAAGAGTTTCCTTTTCTAACCCAAAAGGGGGTGGGGAACCAAGCAGTAATTCAGCATCATTTTTGGATTGTAGTATATAGCATGTGAAAGGAGGGGTTGTTTCCCCATCCAACTGTTAAGGAGCTATAGAGCTTATAATTTACAGGATAAGTTTGTATCATTTTAATAGGTACATCATCCAGTTTTTGTTTGTGTACGCAGATGATTTAAATCTAGGCTGTTATCAGTCAACTATGGCTTACCAGTTCAGGCAACTGAACTGTTACTTTTAGGTTGTAATAATTCCTTCCACATGTATTTTTTAGTAGTTTTTAACAGATAACAGTATTAGGTAAACCAGATCTAAAATTCAGCAGGCAGAAAACTGAAGACTTAATCTATAAAAAAGAAAAATACTGGAAAGATTTTCCTTTACTAACATGCTGGTGTTGGCAAAGATTTTAAAACCGAATGTTTAAAGACTCATAGGCTGAGGAAATTAAAATCTGGTTAGTAAAGAATTACAACTTTTATGAAATGTAGGTACTTGTAAATTCAGAAAGAAGACAGAATCATTCTTTAGAGATTTAAAAGGACACTGGAGACAAGAAACTAGTATTTTTCTAGCAACCAGCTTGGGGAAAATACTTGCCCACGGTGTATCCAAGTCAGCTTTCTATACTTCCTAAATGTTAAGTATGACGTAGCTGTTGACTTTAGTGACATATTTGCAAAACAAAATTCTAAGGTCTTCCGAATGCGGATCATTAAGAAGAAAACCTGAATCTCAACCGCAATCATGAACACCAGTTGGGAGGAGCTTAGAAAGCCAGCATTTACAAACTGAAAATTTTTAAACCACGCTTCAGAAATACACATGCCTCTAGTCTAATGCTAATTACTGATTGGTTCCCTAAAGTCATTTTATCAAACCCATCTATTTACAGTTTTAATTATTTTTGTAGAGATCTTTCTTCCTTGAAACACATTTTGAAGCTCCCGCATGTTAGGAAAGGTACAAGTTACCGGGGCTCTCAAGAAGAATCCAGCCAGTCTCTGCCCTGCACCCACCAGGCACTTTGGAGAAGATACTGGAGTCCGACCGGGACCCCTGCCCTCCCAGAGCAAACCAGCAGAGAGGATCATAGCACATAGCAGCCACCTCCCTTGAGGACAAATAGCTTAATGAAGGGGACACTTCAGCTGCTTATGGGGTACGGCTGGGCCTTATGCCAGACCAAGACAAACCTTGGGAGCAAAGGCAGACTGGAAGGGCTGACTGCTCTGGGGGCGGAACAGTGAGTTTACTGTGGCAGAAAGTAGGCTGCTCGGCTAAGTGAGAAGTCTAGGAAGGCCAGAGTGGTGAGGGCTCTTGTTTGCCAACCTTAGTGTTCAGATTTCATCAGAACCCAAAGAATTTAAAGCAGGGAAGGGACAGGTTTTTTTTTTTCTTTTTTAAAGTTGTATCAGTACAGAGAAAGGACTGAAAGGAAGATGAGTGGCAGGAATCATACTGATTGCACACAGTATTATGCGGGTGAGTTCCAACTTAGTAGTAGTTAAGAGGAAAATTCTGTAGTTTACTAAGAAAATTGGGTCTTTAATGTCAATTTAAATGTTAATACATTTGCTTTTAGCACATTTTGAATCAGATAACAAAAATTTAGTCTATATTAAGAAAGGCTTTTGCATTACAATTACTTAATTAAAAAGTTCCAGTTAATCTCTAATTTCTTGAGGTGTTCGTATTTAAGAAACCTATACCAGGGACAAAAAACAAAGAACATTTCTATGTTTAAATTGGATTTTAGAACTTTCTAACTCATATATAAACACATTATATATAGTATTGCTAGAGAACACTATTGCTGATTATTATTCTGCACAGAAACTGAAAGATCTGACACCTGGGCTAGTCTGGCTCTTGTAAGGAAAAAGTACAGGAAAAGAAAGCATCTGCCTCCCCCCGAAGACCATACATTGTTCCAGTAACTTCTAAGTTCCTTTGCTGTCATTGTGCTGGTGATGATGCAGCAATTTCTTGCAGCTTCTGGGACTAATTCTCTTAGCAGTGGCTTTCAAACTTCGCTATACCCACAATACCACATACCTTGTGACTCAGCACACATGTACACATATAAAAGCCAACCAGAAATGAAACCTTAGTTCCCTTTACTAAGTGCAATGTAATTTTTTCCTTTTCTTACAATTTTTTGAAAGCTCATCATGACCCACTAATGAATGCATAATGACCCACAGTTTAAAAGAACTCTTCATTTTCACTGAATTAGTTCCATTAGTTGTGGTTGACAGAATATGGACTGGTTTTTAATTATTTGAACCTTGACCTTGGCTCTAGTTATATGCAAGACTGCCCCAGAAATTTGTGTCAGATTACTCTAAATATAATAAACTTTTCTGTTGATAGTGCTGAAAACTTTATACCTGTTAAGCTTATTATGTTAAAAGTGCTAGTAACAATAGTTTCCTTTATATGGAACCTTTAAACAGAGCATGTACTTGGAAATTTAACCTGGATCCATTTTGTTTTGTTTCCTTTCAGTCAAATACTGGAGATAATGTCAGCAGTAAGAGAGCAGGATCCACTGGAATTAGCCAATACACTATATAACAACACCATTAAAATATTTTTTTCCTGACATGTAATTGATATGTTCTTTCCATTTCCCATCATGTATGTAAAATTTCATAGTAAAACATAAAGAATAAATAAAGGAATTCTCTGGAAGTTGTCTGAAGAGGTATTATTCCATATTACTACACACCATCCCCCCCCTCAGTTTTAATCCATAGACCAGAATTTTGGTATCAATTAACAATGAAAACACCCAAATATTTTGTAATCTCTTCCCAAAAGTCTGAAAGGACAATTTTATGTCAACGCTGCAAATAGAATGGCCAACAAATATACTGGTTTTATTTACATCAAAATTAAACAATTAGCACATTCTGGCTTTTATACCAAAGTTTAGTTGATAAAAGCCTGTTTTTCAACTCTTACACAATCTCTGAACCATGACTTTCAAACCCAGCTCAACCACATGCTACACTCAAATTTCAAAAGTCTCTTCTGGCAGCCTATTTCCTCCTTCATTTTAAAATATTCTACATATAGCCTCATCCTGTGGTCCAAATTATTTCCTTAATATGGTTTCCTCTGATTCATATTTTCATTCTTCCACCCATTTTAAAGAAACACTAGGGTCCAGGGTTAGATACTTTTATATGCTTTCATTGAGGAATCTTTGGCACACTTGACGCACTGTATTATCATTACATCTATTAAAAAGCTATTTGTTCAAATTTTGTCATAAAAACGTGAAAACATTTTATTCTATGTACAATAATGTACACAAATTTAAATAGGTCACCAAAGAGACCAGAAGTAATTAAAGAGGTATATTTACAGTAGCACATCACAGTAAACGGAAAACCATTCACAGATTCAACATGGATACTGTTTTTGTGCTTGGTTACACACTGAAGTGAAGCATATTACTCCATTTTGGATGAACTGAATTTTAAACAAATAACCTCAATGATTAGTAAATGCTATTTTAATCAGTCAGTATCATCATTAAGTTCTTCAGCTGCTGGGCCTGTGTGTTGAATCACTCCATTTCTTTCTCTTTGAACATCATCATCACAATCTGTACTGTCTTCTTCGTTCAATTCCCTGTCAGATTCAGCAGCAGCTTCTCTTACAGCTTCCTCTGGATTTTCATTGGGTGCAATAAACCCATTGTTGTTGGATATATTTGAATTATCCTTAATATCATCTTCAATGTACACTTTCTGATGGCACATTGGACAAGTATCTTGGATGTACAGCCATTTCCGAAGGCAAAGTGCGTGGAAATAATGATTACATGGTGTGATGCGAGCAGATGTTGTAAACTCATGATAGCAGATTGCACATACATCATCTATTTCTTGTAAGCGGCTCCCTTTTATTTCAGGAAGTGAATTAATTTTCTTAACAGCAGTCCTACGATTCATGAATGTCTTCCAGCCATTTTTTGCTTGTAAGTAGATGTTAAAATATGCATGTAGACACATCATACAAGCTCGAATTTTACTTCCTGACTCAAACATCATAGTGTAAGCCCCATTTCCAAACATTACTACTCCAAATATAAATTCAATAATATTGCCTGTTGAACGAACATAGTAGACATAATCATCAAGCTTTTCCCAAAGGACATTATAATAGCCATCAATCATGAATAACGTATACACAGTGAGAGAAACAATTACTTTTAAGCAGAGTTCCACACAAAAGGCTGTAACTGCAAACAACCATGTATTTAGTGCATAGTGATGCCAAAGAACATAGCTGAGTAAAACAGGAAGAATAAACAGGCAAGCAGAGACAAAGAGCACAGGAAAATGTCTACGGAAAGACGACACATGAGAGGCACTGAGAGACATTAATACAGGGTCTGTCATTCCGTGGATGAAATGCAGGACTGCAGTTAATAAAAGGCACATGTTTCTACTTAAGCGAATAAGTCTCTCTTCTGGTCTTAGCCCACTTAAGCCGGTCTGAAGAGCCAAAATAAAAAATAAAACAGGTGCTACGAAGCCAAGCCTCCTGTCGTCTTCTTCAGTTGATCCAATAAAGGCCAATATTCCAAGGCCCAAATAATGGGCTATTGAGGAAATTACAGCACTCATGCCCAGTACAGTTAGTGTAGAATCACAGCCACTAATTATAAGATTGCAAATGAGGTCCCAGAAATCATCCCAAGAAATAAAGAAAGAATCAGTTTCATTTGCCATCCTTAAAATGTACATCAACACTGTAGCCTGAGCTGTAATTCTTGTTAGCCAAAAGACTCTCAGTATATCTGGAAAACGAATCCTCTTCCATGTGTCCTCCATTAATAACTGTAATCCATAAATTCGATACATGTGCCTCACTAAAAGATAAACATATCGTGTGGAGTAATAAAACCACTTAAGTTTCACTGCCAAGACAAGCACTGTGTTTAATGTAAGAATCAAGGAAGAAGTAAAAACTAAAGTCTCTCGGATGTGTAATGGCAGCTCTGTGATTAAACCTATCACAGGAATCAAGAGATCCAAAATAATTAATTGTGAATAGATGGAATGAATTTGTAGTAGTGTAATGTATCCAATTCCTAAGGTTAGCTGCAGAACGATGAGTGCCATCCATAGCGAGGGCCCTTTTCGAGGAAGCAGCTCAATTCCGAAAGCTGATGTGTTGTAGGCACCATAGAAGTCAATGTGCAAAGAAGCATAATAATTTACCAACACTGAAGTTGCAGCTAATAGAAAGGCTGAACTGTACATGTAAAACTTGAAAAGTGATCGTTGTGACAAGATCAGAACAATACTGGATACAAATATACCTAAAAAAAAAAAAAAGAAAAGAAAAGTCATTTGAATGTAACATTTTAAAAAAGATTTTATTTATTTAAGAGAGACAGCATGAACACAAGCAGAGAGAGGGAGAAGCAGACTCTCCACTGAGCAGGGAGCCCCCATGCAGGGCTCAATCCCAGGAGGACCCCAAGATCGACTTGAGCCAAAGACAGACACAAACAGGTCTGCCTTAACCAATGCGCCACCCAGGTGCTCCTTGAATGCAACATTTAAAAAAATATTTCTGTACTAATAGTTATGCCATTCTTCCCCTAATGAGGAAATACAAATATTTTCTTTAAAAAAAAAAAAAAAGATTTGAGAGAGAAGGGGGAGAGGGAGAAGCAGACTCCCACTGAGCCGGGAAGCCCTATGCAGTGCTTGATCCAGGCCACAATTCCAGGATCATGACCTGAGCCAAAGGCAGACTTAACTGACTGAGCCACTCAGACACCCCAGAAATACAAATATTTTCAAAGTTATGAACATTAAGCCTCAAGACAATTTAGGCTTAAAGGCCAAGAAACGTTTTGTAAAGAAAGTTCAACAGATCAAACATAGTGTTTTAAAAAATCTTATTCCTTATCTTTTAAGTTCAAAATTCAAGTAGTACAATATATGTCGACTCCAAATTACTAAATTATTTTCATTAGTGATACATATATTTTAACAAGTTTTTAAATCTTGAAAGAACATGTCCTTTATAATTCCATAACCATTAAAAATATTTAAAACAATTCCATTACTTGAAAAAACATTAAGAACCAAAAATAACCAAAATGCAAATATTTGTTCCTATTAAATC